CCTAGTCCCCCCCAACAGACCTCAGTGTGTGATGCTCCCCTCCCTGTGTCCATGTGTTCTAATTGTTCAACACCCGCCTATGAGTGAGAACGTGCGGTGTTTGATTTTCTGTTCTTGTGTTAGTTTGCTGAGAATGATGGTTTCCAGGTTCATCCATGTCCCTACAAAGGACACAAACTCAGTGTTTTTTTATGGCTGCATAGTATTCCATGGTGTATATATGCCACATTTTCCCTGTCCAGTCTATCATCGATAGGCATTTGGGTTGGTTCCAAGTCTTTGCTATTATAAACAGTGCTGCAATGAATGTAAGTGTGCATATGTCTTTATAATAGAACGCTTTATAATCCTTCGGATATATACCCAGTAATAGGATTGCTGGGTCAAATGGAATTTCTATTTCTAGCTCCTTGAGGAATTACCACACTGTCTTTCACAGTGATTGAACTAATTTACACTCCCACCAGCAGTGTAAAAGGGTTCCTATTTCTCCACATCCTCTCCAGCATCTGTTGTCTCCAGATTTTTTAATGATCGCCATTTTAACTGGTGTGAGATGGTATCTCAATGTAGTTTTGATTTGCATTTCTCTAATGACCAGTGATGGTGAGCATTTTTTCATATGTTTGTTGGCGTCATATATGTCTTCTTTTGAAAAGTGTCTGTTCGTATCCTTCACCCACTTTTGAATGGGTTAGTTTTTTTCTTGTAAATCTGTTTTAGTTTTTTGTAAATTCTGGATATAAGTCCTTTGTCAGATGGGTAGATTGCAAAAATTTATTCCCATTCTGTTGGTTGCTGGTTCACTCTAATGATTTTTTCTTTTGCTGTGCAGAAGCTCTGGAGTTTAATTAGGTCCCATTTGTCTATTTTGGCTTTTGTTGCCAATGCTTTTGGCGTTTTAGTCATGAATTCCTCGCCTATGCCTATGTCCTGAATGGTTAAGTCTAGGTTTTCTTCTAGAGTTTTTATGGTGTTTAGTCTTATGTTTAAGTCTTTAATCCATCCGGAGTTAATTTTAGTGCATCGTGTCAGGAAGTGGTCCAGTTTCTGCTTTCTGCACATGGCTAGCCAGTTTTCCCAACACCATTTATTAAACAGGGAATCCTTTCCCCATTGCTTGTTTTTGTCAGGTTTGTCAAAGATCAGATGGTTGTAGATGTGTGGCTTTGCCTCTGAGGCCTCTGTTCTGTTCCATTGGTCTATATGTCTGTTTTGGTACCAGTACCATGCTGTTTTGATTACTCTAGCCTTGTAGTATAGTTTGAAGTCAGGTAGTGTCATGCCTTTAGCTTTGTTCTTTTTGCTTAGAATTGACTTGACTATGCAGGCTCTCTTTTGGTTCCATATGAAGTTTAAGGTGGTTTTTTCCAGTTCTGTGAAGAGGGTCATAGGTAGCTTGATGGGGATAGCATTGAATCTATAAATTACTTTGGACAGTATGGCCATTTTCACATATTGATTCTTCCTAACCATGAGCATGGAATGTTTCTCCATCTGTTTGTGTCCTCTCTCATTTCCTTGAGCAGCGGTTTGTAGTTCTCCTTGAAGAGGTCCTCTATATCCTTTGTTAGTTGTATTCCTAGGTATTTTATTCTCTTTGTAGCAATTGTGAATGGCATTTTGTTCTTGATTTGGCTCTCTTTAAGTCTGTTATTCGTGTATAGGAATGCTTGTGATTTTTGCACATTGATTTTGTATCCTGAGACTTTGCTGAAGTTGCTTATGAGTTTCAGGAGATTTTGGGCTGAGACGATGGGGTCTTCTAAATATACAATCATGTCGTCTGCAAATAGAGACAATTTGACTTCCTCCTTTCCTAAGTGAATACCCTTTATTTCTTTTTCTTGCCTGATTGCTCTGGCTAGAACTTCCAATACTATATTGAACAGGAGTGGTGAGAGAGGGCATCCTTGTCTAGTGCCAGATTTCAAAGGGAGTGCTTCCAGTTTTTGCCCATTCAGTGTGCTATTGTCTGTGGGTTTGTTGTAAAGAGCTTTTATTAGTTTGAGATACGTTCCGTCAATACTTAGTTTATTGAGAGTTTTTAGCACAAAGGGCTATTGAATTTGGTCAAAGGCCTTCTCTGCATCTATTGAGATAATCATGTGGTTTTTGTCTTTGGTTCGTTTATGTGTGTGTGTGTGTTTTTTGTTTTGTTTTGTTTTTGTTTTTTGAGATGGAGTCTCACACTGTTGCCCAGGCTGAAGGGCAATGGTGCAATCTTGGTTCACTGCAACCTTCGCCTTCTAGGTTCACGTAATAATTCTCCTGCCTCAGCCTCCTGAATAGCTGGGGTTACAAGCGCAAACCACCACACCCGGCTAATTTTTTTATTTTTAGTAGAGTCGGAGTTTCACCATGTTGGCGAGGATGGTCTCGATCTCTTGATCTTGTGATCAGCCCGCTTTGGCCTCCCAAAGTGCTGTATTACAGGCGTGAACCACTGCGCCCAGCCAATAAAGTCTGACATCTATTGAGTGTTATCTACTAAGTGCTTTACATAAATTCTCTTTTAGTTTTTGCTAGCCACTTTATAAGACAGGCATTATTAATCTCATTATTTTATAGATGAGGAAAGTGAGGCACAGAGCTATCACTTGCCAATGTCAGGCAAGTAATAAGGGGCAAAGATCCAGATGTTTTGACCCCAGAGTGTACTCTCTCTCTCTCTCTTTTGAGACAGGAGTTTCACTCTTGACACCCAGGCTGGAATGCAGTAGCATGATCTCAATTCACTGCAACCTCAGCTTCTAGGGTTCAAGCAATTCTCCTACCTCAGCCTCCCTCCCAAATAGCTGAAATTACAGGAGCTTGCCACCATACCCAGCCATTTTTTATATTTTTAGTAGAGATTGGATTTTATCACATTGGTCAGGCTAGTCTTGAACTCCTGGCCTCAGGTGATGCACCCACCTCGGCCTGCCAGAGTGTTAAGCAATAACCACTACACCACACAGTGTCAGAAAGGTATGTTGTACTAGGGAAAATGCATTGATAACCAAAAGTCTCAATACTAGCTTATGATTCTGGTATCAACTAAATCTGTGACCTAATCCTAGCTGACTCACAATGTTTTGGGGTTCCAGCTTTCTCATATATAAAATCTTTAACTTGCGGATGAAGAGTTCTGAATATGTGCAGTGTTTAAAGATTCATGTCTGGATGCAAAAGGAAGACACAGTCCAGAGATGCAATCTAGAGAACTGCTAGAAGTATGAGAGTACTAATCTTCTCTTTGTAAAGGGATATGCCATGATATTTTCATGACCCTGTTAAGACTGATGATGTAATTCTTCCTCTATATAGCTCATGAAAAACACTAGGGAGTCCTCAGTGGTACTTCGCTTTTCTTAGGAAGTGTCTTGCCAGTTTCTCTTACAGTGTTTTTGGTAAGCCCATTTGTTTTGAAATTGAATTTATAAACACATACTTGTGTTGGGCTTAAGTATGTATGGCTTTAGCATTAACTTTACTTGAATACATGAACCTTTATGGCTATGTGGATTTTTCAGGAAGATAAAAGCAATGAGCCAAATTTCAAGAACTGAAAATCCTAACTCTGATTAATGCATCCTGAAACTCTTGTACCTCAGTTTCGGGACGGTCTTTCCAGCAATGCAAATCTTAATGCAAATGCAAATGTCTAAGGTTCAAGAGCCATTATCTTGAAGAAGAATGTTAGATATGGGCCAATGTAGACCAAGAACAAAATTACATTCACAATTAGCCAACAACGAAACCTTTCTCATTTTACTCAGACTCTGAAATAAAGCAACATATTTGCAAGAAATAAAATGCCACCTACCTCGCTTCAAGCTCCCAGAAAGTGGTATCATCAGACAGCCATGGGTTAGAAGGGTCAGGAGGCAAAAGAAACGGGTCGTATTCCAAATACTGTTCCGTGTAACTTAGTAGACTAGGGAGAAAAAGACATTTCCACGTTCTTTAGTTTTCTGACTGGGGTTGCGGCCAATCCAAAGCAAGAGAAAGAATATAAAAATGTGGGCCCAAGGGATCTTTGCTCACTTATAGAATGAAATCCAATGGCAATCTTCACATTTCAATAACTTGGATGTAACAACTTATGGTGCTTCCTGGCAGACAAATGTGGCTAAAGATACCATCCCTCCCCAGGCCTAAGCTGTAGAAATCAACATCCCTTGGTTAACACGAGGCACTATGGAAGAGGTCTGTGTGTGGAGGGCACCGCCAACAGTTAGTTCCCATCTTTGGTTATCAGTCCACCCACAGCAGAACAGATTTTAGCCAACTTAGAGAAGGGCTTAAAAGGGAAATTTTGTCAAAAGCATTTACAGGAATTATGCAAAGTAAGAACAACTGATACATTTTTAAAATGTATATACACATTTTAAAAAGGGAGAAGGGAAAGAAGTTGGAAAGGTAGGATTTGGCAATGCCCAAAAGTGATGAATATGAATGCCATTAAGAATAGATGTCAATGACGAAAAGGAAAATATCTAAAATTTGAGTTTCATTCAAATGTTCTGAAGTCAAGCAGTAACAGAGTCAACTGTTACTGTTAAAATACGTTTACAGAGAGGCTCCAAGATGCCAAAATGTAATGAATAAATGAAAAGTTTCACGTCTTCCAGCAGGAGTGAAAAGGCTAGACTGCAGAATCATCCTCTATATCTGATTCTTGGTTGCACAAGGATTAGATGTCTGGACATTTAACACAATTATAATCATCCTGTCATTTAAACTACACCAAAAGAGTTCTTTGAAAGTTTTCTATGTGCAGAAAGGAAAACAGTATCACATTTACTTACATGATTCCAATTATTTGTCACGACTCCTGTTCCAACAGTCCTCTTTCATTTTTAAACACTTTTAATTGTCATATGAAATTTAAAAATTTATATAGACATCTTGAAATACTCACCTGTCAGCGACTTTTGACATTTTTAACCGATGTCTATCTAACTGTATTTGCCAGTATTTTATCTGAAAAGAGGGTTAGAGAAGCAGATACATAAGTAGTGACATTTTCACAATTTTCCACTCTAAATCACGAAAGACTGGGCAATTCTGAACAAGAGTATATTCTAGGTCAGTACAATTTCAAAGCTGCTTAAAAAAATAAAAGCAGAGGGCTCTTAGACAGTTAACAAAATGAAATGTCTGAATGTGAACACAATTGATATCACTTTAGAACAGCAATGGGTTTGACCGTTCTGCCTACTTTAATAAAATGTGATTTTATTTTAAAATGGTAGAGATTTTGCTGGGCACAGTGGCTCACACCTGTAATCCCAGCACTTTGGGAGGTTGAGGTGGGTCAATCGCTTGAGGCCAGGAATTCGAGACCAGCCTGGTCAACATAGTGAGACCCCGTCTGTAAAAAAAAATATAGAAAAATTAGCCAGGTATAGTGGTACAGCCACTGTAGTCCCAGCTACTTTGGGGGCCGAGGCAGGAGGATCGCTTGGGCCCTTGAAGCAGAGGTTGCAGCAAGCCAAGATCACACCACTGCACTCCAGCCTGGGTGGTAGAGAAAGACTGTCTCAAAAAAATAAAAAATAAAATTGTAGAGATTTTAAACAGTCATTCATGGTGTTTATCTAAACATTCGTTCTGGATTAGTTATTACCAAATCCAGAATCATACTTCCCTCCCAATTTAGAAAATAAATGTATTTGTTACTATAATTTCAAAATAAATCCTATCTCCTAATACCAAGAAAGCATCAATGGTATGTGTTTTGAGAATAATTTTATCAGCAATTCATGACAAATACTCACATGGAATAATCACACATAGAAAACCTTAATGAAAAACTCTCTGAATGACTTTTCCTGCAATTATTATAGATATACTAGAAAAGCATATATCATACTCTTGATAAATCATATTATAATAAAATATTAGGGGAAAGGAGTCAAAATGAGAATAAAGCCCCATGACTGAAGTAATCAAGAGATTTAAACTATTATTTGATTTGAGACACTGGAGTTTGCTTTGAAATATTACTTGGAGCCATCACTATGGATCAAATGCTTAAAAAAAGTAGTGTATACCATGACTCCATGACTGTACATCAGTGTTGATAAGAAAAAACTTCAAGAGGTAGAGAGAAATCAGCACTGCAGAAAGCAAGAACAAGGACTCATGTGAAGAAAATGTCATACCATTGGATATGGGAAATGTGGCACTCAATGTTCCCAACCTCTTGTCCTCTTACACTTTACAACAGAGTTCTGGAGCACAAAATAACTACTGATGATGGGGTCATTTACAAATCGGCATATGTGATTTTTACAGTTGGCTAGAGGAAAAAGGATTTGGGTAAATAAAGAGAGAGGGGTTCTGAAAACCATTACCATGTGTTGATACATTTTCAAGTAATTACAATTCTTAAAATTAGAAAGTTTTATTATTTTTTAATTGCAAATCTTCCATATGAAACAGTCAATCATACAAATCACCTTAAAAATACCCACTGTTAACAGTGACCGTCTGGTCTTCACAGCTATTACTCTGTAAACCTTTAACAGGCCACCTCATAGGCTGACTCACCTGTTGCTGTAACTCATCTTCTGTTGGAGGTTTAGTCTCTGGTGTGGGTGTGTGGGTAGGGCTGTGGCTTCTAATATCATTTTGTAAACCATAGACAGACTATATTAAAATAAAAAAATAAAATATTTTAGGACAAAATACCATTTATAGTCACATATTTTCTAAAAAGCAACTCTGTATCATAAATTCAGTGAGGTCACTCAAAAATTAGTTGATTAAGCTTCTTATCAAAAATCAAAAGGCATTGCTATGATAAATATCATATGTATATAAAATACAAGCACAGCTCTGAAAAAATATATAGATTACTAACTTTGACAGAATAATTGATTATACATAGAGAACGGGGGAGTGTGATAAAATTTGAGAGCAGGCTGGGAATACTAAGTTGGAGAATGCCAACATTAACTAACATTTCATAAGCATTAAGAAAATATAGAGGTAGATATAAAATAGAATAGAAATGTGATAACCCAAGAGAAGATTGAAAAATAACTTGATTTTTTTTTACACAGGAATTAAATGGGGGTACTGAGAATGACAAGTCAAGAATTCTATTGCTGATTTGATTTCTGAAGGTGCAATAGAAGACATCAAGGTATTCCTACTCTCCATGTCAATAGTGGGTTATTTCCTTCACAATACTGGCCTTGCCATTGGGTGCCTTTGTAAACACCAGTGACCCCAGAGGCTTCAGGCGTCTTTGGAATTCCCTTGTACTTTTTTATGAACTTGTCAAAAGGTCAGACTTACTACTTAGGAAGACTCTTTTTTGAGAAAGGCCCATTGCTTAGTAAGTATAAATAAAGATCTGGTGTCTAAAGGGATAAAAAACTATTTGTAACTCAGAGTGAGACATCTCACATGTCAACTCAAGGAAGAGGCCAAATTATTTTTTCTTGAATATCAAAGTATTATTCCTTTAAAATAAAGAATTTAATGTGTGTTATTGAGCACTTTTTTTTGGACATGAGCAAGAAAGATGAGGGCATAAGAAAACTGCATGAACTCCACAAAATTGGTTACCAGATGAGGTTTGCAAAGACAGTTTGAAATTAGATGAGGTTAGATCCAGATGCCTAATGATGCCAATTTTCAGGCTGGTCACCAAGCTTGCCAGTATCACTAAATTCAATGTATTTTTGTTCCTGATCTGTCTTCACTAGGACCTTATGTCCACTTAACAGTGCCTCTCCACCCTGTATCTGCACCTTTTGGAATCGGCCTTGCCCTTGTGTCTCACCTGCTCTGTCCTTTTTTTTTTTGTTTGCTTTTTTGTTTGGTGTTCTTATCCTTTCTTTAACAGATTTTCACTTGGGTTTAATCATTGGGATTGTCTATTCCCAGACTATCTTGGGTAGGTCTCTTCGATGCCCTTCTCTTGCCCTAGCCCCAGACCCTTGGAACCCAATTCCCATCACTGAGGACATCCACTTCTTTTTTATTTATTTATTTATTTATTTATTTAATAATGCAAAACAGGAGGCAGTAAATGGCCATCCATTTCAACACAAGGAGTTGCTCACATGCTTTGAATTTACTCTGAACAGGACAGAGCTTAATGGCTTAAACCAGCTCTTTTATTTCATCCATTTATTCACTCACTCATTCATTCAACGTTTATTGAACACTTACTATATGCTGGTTATAGTACTAAGATTAGGAGAATAGAAATAAACAAAACAAATGTGCTTCTTTCTCCACTGGAACTCACAACGCAGTGGAAAGGAAAGAAGTCACACAGGCAATCACACAAATAAACACATGACTAAAAACGTGATAAGTACTATGAACAGAAAACAGCAACAAGCACAGGGCCTGGAATATAAAGTGATTTAATTTACACTGAAGGAATGGAAATGGCCCAAACTGATACTAGCCATATTCGAACATGATTAAATAACATAACCTTCTGAATGCTGAAGTAACAGTAGAGGTTGATTTTGTAAAAATTTTGTGCTATATATACGAAATGGAACACTCTTCAGCCTTTATAGAACAAGAAATTCTGTCATTTGCAATAACATGGATGAACCTACAGGACATTATGTTTAGTTAAATAAGCTAGGCAGAGAGGTCTTTATCATAGGATTGCACTTATATGAGGAATATAAAAAAGCCGAAGTCATATAAGCAGACAATAGAGTGATAGTTACCAGAAGTGGGGATGGGGTGGGGAAGAGACAGGTCTTGGTCAATGGGTGCAAAGTTAGATAGAAGGAGTAAGCCTTGGTGTTCTATTGGACAGCCAAGTCACTATTGTTAATAATGATGTATTTCATATTTCAAAGTAGCTCACAGAGAGGATTTTAAATGTTCTTGCCACAAAAAGGATAAATATTTGAGGTGATGAATATGTTAATTACTCTGATTGGTTCATTCCATGGTATATATGTTTACTGAATATTACCCATAAGTATGTGCAATTATTATTTGTCAATTAAAATTAGGCCACAGAAGATCACCAATTATATGATGGTTCTACTTTTCAGTGTCTGCTAGTTTTTCAATTGTATCACCTTAATTTTTGAAAAGAAAAATAAAAAGACTCTGAGACTTGAAGTTTCCTTTCTGTTTTCAACTTGGTTTAATTTTTAAAAGTTTTTAAATCATAATCTATAGGTCCTGTAAACAGTGCTTATGAAAAATGGCTAATGGTTTTAACAGCAAATTTTTCGGCTAAGATAAAAAAAAATAATTTAAAAGACTGCTAGAAAAACAGCAATTTGTGATATCATGAAAGTGAAATGATCCATAAGTTATCTTTTATCTCTACATTTCTATAATGATTTCAACATTTATGCATTTCCTGTAAACTTCATAAAGGTCCCAGAAGAGACCATAACCCAAACCATTGGGAGGTGTTGCTTAAAACAGTCTTCCAGGTGCCTGGCTACTGGCTCTGAAGTTACTGCAGATGGAGAAATGGAGTAATGAAGATACTCCATTTCTTGTCTTACATAAAAGTCAGGCTGGGTGCTGTGGCTCACGCCTATAATCCCAGCACTTTGGCAGGCCAAGGTGGGCAGATCACCTAAGATCGGGAGTTTGAGACCAGCCTGACCAACATGGTGAAACCCCATCTCTACTAAAAATACAAAATTATCTGGACATACTGGCACATGCCTGTAATCCCAGCTACTCAGGAGGCTGAGGCAGGAGAATCGCTTGAATCCGGGAGGCAGAGGTTGCTGTAAGCCAAGATCGCGGCATTGCACTCCAGCCTGGACAACAAGAGTGAAACTCCATCTCAAAAAAAAAAAAAGTCAACATCAGGAGCTCTGGCTTTTACCAATCTCAGCACTGTTCATTTCCTGGGGACAGTGATAGCTTCTAACTTTAATCCTTGGCTACAATGAAAACAGCTGAGAATATAATTTTATATATAGGGCTTATTTTGTGGACAAAGGAGGCCAAGAGATTAATCCTATTTTGGCAGGCAAGTTGTGAAAGTTATTTGCAATGTAAAAGGCTTTGCATGTTTTAGAAAATAAAATGCATTCAAATGTCCAGGATGGGGTGGCATAGAGCTAGAAGCAGGTCGGGTTAGAGAGGAAGATAAATAAAATCTCTTTAATGTCTTAATATTTGCAGTTGGAGGAAAATCAAATTAATTGATATCCATTTTTAATTTTAATAGCAAAATCATTTATTTGCAGTGCTTTGGCTTGAATAAGACATTCTTTATTCCCTGCAGTGTTAAGCACTTTTTCATATACAGTGCCATCTATTTATTCATTAAATAAAATCGATTTGGCTTGCTATGTAAATCCATTCACATGTGAGTTCCCTTGACATTTTAGAAGAAAGCTAATCTCCCCTGCTTTTTTACTTTTATTTTTTAGGTTGGGGGCGGTGGGGTTTTGCTATGGTCTGAATATTTGTATCTCTCCAAAATTCATATGTTGAAATCTTAAACCCCTAATGTGATGGTATTAAAGGGTGAGGACTTTGGGAGGTTACTAGGTATGAGGGTGAAGCCCTTGTGAATGGGATTAGTGCCCTTATAAAGAGGTCTGAGGGAGCTCATTTGCTCCTTCCACCATGTGAGGACACCGTGAGAAGGTACCAACTTTGAAGTACTGAGTGAGCTCGCAACAGATGTGAAATCTACTGGTGCCTTGTTCTTGGACTTCTCAGACTCCAGAACTGTGAGCAATACATTTCTGTTGTTTATAAATTACCCAGTCTAAGATATTTTGTCACAGCAACTCAAACAGACCAAGAACCAAGACAGGGATTGTAAAATAGAAACCACAAAGTGCCGGACGCCTTTCTGTCTTTCTATGTGAAGTGTAATCTCCGGGACTTTTCTAACTGGCTGGCATGCTAATATTTCTCTTTCCTTCAAGGTTGCTCAGCTGAGCTAGAGAACAGATTGTTACCATATCTGACACAATACCGACAAAGTCAATACAGAGAAAGAAGCAGAGAGAAAGCGAACAGAAAGACAGTGTGAGAGGGCCAGCTCGACCCCTGCCTGCCACGAGGTTTCAGATCATGAATCAGAAAAGTCCCTTCTTGGCTGGGTGTGGTGGTTTGCGCCTGTAATCCCAGCACTTGGAGAGGCTGAGGCGGGTGGATCACCTGAGGTCAGGAGTTCGAGACGAGTCTGGCCAACACAGTGAAACCCCGTCCCTACTAAAAATACAAAATTAGCTGGGTGTGGTGGCACACGCCTGTAGTCCCAGCTACTCAGGAGGCTGAGGCAGCAGAATCACTTGAACCCGGGAGGTGGAGGCTGCAGTGAGCTGACATCCTGCCACTGCACTCCAGCCTGGCAAGACAGAGTGAGACCCCATCTTAAAAAAAAAAAAAAAATTATCTATTTGTTCATTATAATTTGAGGAGTTTCTATTGCCTGCACCTTTACTGTACCCCTAACTTGACACACTTTTTCATTGCTCTAAGACATGAGTAGTTTATTCTGTTCAGTAACACATTAAAATCTAAATGTACACATGCAGCATATGGAGGTGAGGACATGTCCATATTTTATGCAGAAACAGCTATAACCACTGGAGTATTAACAACAGGGAAACTGACAGCTAATGATACATTTGCTCTTATTCTTCTAGGATATGCATATTGGCTTTCCG